GAGTAAAGATGTAAAAGATGGCGAGCAGAATAAAGATGTAGAAGATGGCAAGCAGAGTGAGGAGGATATCTGTGAAAACTTTATGATTTTTGCAATTTTCCTAAGCAGGTCAGAACTGATCCTAAATTTGTGCAAAGTAATTTTGAAACGTTTTTGAATATTCAGAGCTTTTCAAGAGTTTAAAAAACTAACTATTTATTACCAATGTGTGTTATTTTCTACTTTCAAAAAATTTTATTCAAAGTTTTTAAGAAGTGACATGGCAGAAAACTTTTGGAGAAAGACCAAACGACCACTTCTGAGTGCTTTGGTCGCTGCCTGGGTAGCTGACATTTTGAAGAAACGGTCAGAAGGCAAATTTGATACGGAATTTAGTGAGCATTATGCTGCATTAAAGAAGTAATCAATTTATTTGTATGAGCTTCTTTGGCTACCTTCAAGACATTGTTTTTTATTTATACTTTGTTAAGTCAATCGCACACAGCTGAGATGTTGCAGTATAAGTACTAGAAGATTAAAGTCTAACTACTTTTAGAAGTTTTGAAGAAAAGGCGGAGGGTATTATTGAAAAGGCACAGGAAGAGAACTTTTCTGTAGCTACAAAATTAATAGAGTATAATGCAAGACCTCACTGGCCGCGACATCGACTGATAGATATTGCTGCTCGGGCTAAACTCGAGGTTCTACTTCTTTTTCTTGTAGTCGTTAATTTTGAAATTTTAGGATAATTCGTGGTTTAATATCAAGCTTGAACGTTTTTCAAATGAATAGCGCAACGAAACAGCTTTTGCAGTATAACAAGATAAATAAGACAAGTTAGAGCGTAGAAGAAAAGTTATCTATTACGTTGCTTTCTTTAGATAAGGATAAAAACAATTTGATACATTTTTTCACTTTCCTTTGCATAACTGTGTTTAAAAATTACATAGTGTCAGTTGTATAATTTCAAGACCTAAATAATTGAAGGTCAAAGTTGCAAAAAATTTGATGCAAAACGGTTTTTAAATCTGTAGCATTTTCCAAGAGTGGACTTGTAAAAACAGAAAAATTTTTCTTTTGGCTACCCTAATTGATAAATTTCTTTCGTTACAGAAATTTAATAATAGTTTGTGCTGTAAACGAACAATATTTAATGACTGGACCGGAGGAGTAAAATCTAGTGGACTTGCTTACTTTTTTGCTGTAATTTTCTTTCCTTTAATACTCTTCCATTTCTTTGTTCGGTTTGAAAAAGAAGCAATCAAAACGAGTGAGAACGGGTATTGCTTTGCTTTTATCACTACCTTGCTTTGCTTTACAGAATTTACAAACCAAATTTTGTTGTCCCAGCCCTATAATATTGTTTTCTTTAGTCGAAAAAATATAGGAAACTATTTTACACGCATTTCAGAAGAAGAGTACTCAAAAAGCAAAGAGAGCAGGCTGTATAAGGTTTTATTTCAAAAAATGGCTCAAAATGTAGAGATAAAATTGTAGTACGTTATATGTTTTTCTTTGGTCTTGTTTGATGAGAGTATTTTTTTTTGCTTAAACAAAATGTACTTTTAATTGTTGTTGAAGCTTTATACACACTGAGAGAAAACTATTTGTAGAGCACTTTTAAAAGCAGAATTCATATTTGATATGACGAATCTTTCAGCTGAGTGCTAATGACTTTTTCCTTGTAAAACGTCGTTCTGTGTCATTCTTATAGATCATAAAACAATTTAGCCAAAATTTTTTTCTTAAATTTTTATATATTCGTGCATGTACATATTTTTTTAGTGTATCTTACTTACCCTACTAAACAAATTAACATGATAAATTTTTTCTTGTCGTTCGAACAGAATAATAAAGGAAGTACTTAACTCTCATTTAGGCACATTCTTTGACTTTTCTACAATTTTTCATTTCTTATTTAATATTTTAAAAGTACAACTTTTAAGCTACAATTTTTGGTTTTTATTGGTATGGGGCAAAACAGAATATAATTCCTTTCATATTCCTGAACTTGAAGTTTCTTTTGGTCTTTTTCAATTAAAATTTCCTCAATCTCAGTAAATGTCAGTTATTTCAGCTGAGATTGACTAAGAATTTTGATTATTTTTATTATAACTTTGAATTCTAAATTATAAAACTTTGAGCTTTAGAAGTTGCTTTATACCGATTTGCCTAAAAACAAGCTGGCAGAAAGTACGGAAATTTTACTGCACGCCTCGATCAAGGTTTACAGTTCACTCGGTAGGCTTTCTTTGCTCTTCAAAAGTTGTTTATATAGAAAGCCAATTAGCAGCACTAATTTAACACTTTTCTACTTATTTAGATTTCTTATTTTGTCTATTTGCTGCTACTCTCAGCGGTGCATTATGATTTAACGACAGAAAAGTTACGAATTTTGAAAATACTAATATGGATTTTTCAGCTTTGCTATTTGTGTATTATTATCCTTACGGTATGTCATTATTCCTCAGTTACATTTCTAAAGAGAAAACATTAGTTTGACTTATCCAGATAAAGTTTAAGGTTGTTTCTCGTTAAAAGTATGATACCTTTTGAAGAGTCACAGTTAGCTTCAAAATTTGACAAAAAAACATCGAGAGGTTACTAACTTAGAGAGGAATTAAGTTTCTGGTTGTATAAAACAGAGTCTAGCAGCTGTTTACTGCTTTTCTAAATTGACAAAAAAATACATTCGTAAATCAGAAGTGAAAGAAAATAAGATTAATCTTTTAGTATATTCAAAAAATTGGTTTGCATCAGTTCGTTCTTGAATGGAGCTGGCGTCACTGGACTTTGTTTTCATCTTGGAACTTTATCCACTTCGTCGCTCTTCTGGTTTCGGAAATAACGATTTCTGTAGAACCAATCTTAAAAAATGAAGTAGCTTGAAACTTATTTGCTCTGTAAAATAGTTTTATTAGACTTGCTATTGATCAAATACTACTTTTGAAAAAATAGCGATTTCAAAACTGCTTTACAATTGCGAATAAAACTGTAATCACAGAATAAAATTATGTTTCAGGAGTTTCTACCCGGCCTTCTCTCTTCAGCTATTCTAACACCTGTTTTCTTCTTCAATTTTTTCAAATTTCTTTATGTTTTTCGCTGTTTTGGTCCAAAATTACTTATGCTTTCAAAAGTGGTCTGTTTATCTTTTTATTTAATAAAGATAATAGTTGATAATTAAGCAAATTTTTCTAATAAATAGTTTTTGTAACTTTCAATTCTTTAGAAAGAATATATGTTTTATTTGGTCATCAGTTAACTGAATTCCATACAAAAAAGTTTTTTGAAAATGTTTTCAAATTCTTTAATAACTCTGGCATTTTTTGGTCATTTACTTTATTTTGCAGTGGGATAGTATCGCGACGTATGTTCTCATGACTCTGACAATATCAGTTGCATACAGCGTATCTATCCACATTCTCGGATACAAGAAGTTGCAGCTGAGCCCTTACATATTTCGAGACGTGATGCTTCCAGCGATTTATGTAATTTTTGCTGAACCTAACGAAAATCAAATTGCTGGTACGTAAAAGCTTCTTCTTTTATGAATGCCTCAACTTGCCAAGGTGATTCCAATGCGTTATATCATCTCTGATGAATTATTGTTATCAATAATAGCAGCTAAACCACAATTTGACTTTTAAATTCTGTACTACGATTTTGAAGTTGACAAAACTATAGTTCGAAAACTTTCGTTAAGAATAAAAAGCAGGTAAAATTACTGAACTGAGGTCAAGTTCCAACAAACAACTTTATTTGATTTAAGCTGGCTGTTATTTTAATTTTATTTTTTAATTTTTTTAGAGCTTTTACTGTATTTTGAACGTTATATTGAGTGTCAGAAAATTCAATATTAGAATTTGAATAAGAAAAGAACATTTTTTATTGTGTTTCAATTTTTCAATGGTAGAAAATATAATAGTTATCAGTCATAAAGTACGCAATTATGTCACGAATTGTTTCTCCAAAAGTATTTTGATCAAAATCTTGTTTTAATCGTAAGCACTTCTTAAGTCAACTTTTTTAAAGCACACTGTACAATTCTTAAATAAATGCTCTTCTTTTTTATCTCACAGAATTCCCTAGTTTTTTGATATTCTAGTCTTAGCTTTAAACACTAGAATTTAAAAAATTATACGTCTACTTTATCGTTCTTTGGCAAAACCTGTCTCTTGCAGCTGACCCCCATGACAATGTTTGGAAAAGTCACCTAATTTGCCAGTACAGCTTCAGATTCAGTAGGATTACAGCAATTTTTCACTTTTCAATTTTCCAATCTGAGCACCTGGATTTGCACATGTCTATACTTCCTCAAAATAATCGTAATACACTAGCATTCTGTTCTAAGATTAATCTTTTTATCATAAATTTTACTGCATGGTAGCCCACGAAATAGGAATTATAAAGGGTTGAAAATTATAAAAGAGAGAGAAATGTTGTCGCTCAATGAGAAACTGTTTTTTATGCATTATTCAATTTTACAGCTTTACTGTGGAATCGCAAATCCCAAATGTGTAAGCTACCTTTCATCTTCTTTCACAACACTTGCTATTTAAGAATCTAATGCTTATCACTATGGCAAGCATTTTTGTTCTCTCAGCTTAATGACACTTTACAATGTTTCTTATTAAGGTTGACAGTACATATAAAAGTTGATTTTGTAATTTTATTTCTGTAGCTAGGTAACGTAGCTTTTGAATTATTCAAAAAGTATTCTGGTCATCGTTTGACTTCAGTAAGCGTTTATTGAATTACAAGTGAATAGTTTTCAAAAAAGATTTGAAGAGAAAAGTTGTAAAGTTTATTGCAATCAATCAACAAACGTAAGAAGGAAATTTTGTTAGTTTTCATCTGCTGTAGCAGGGTTGATCAGTAAAATTCTGACTCTGTAACACACTAAGTAAAAATGAATTATTCGCTTATAACCTGTTATAAATATTCATTTCAAAATTTCACCTCTTATCCTTGAAGTCGTTAAAATGTTATTTCTAATTAATCTCTGTTGACGGTTAATCACTGGTTATAGAATTTTACAAAATAAATGTTAAGGTTTTGTCCGTGACTGCAACAACACACACACCTGGTCGCAATTATCGAGTGGAGACGGCATAAGCTGTTCTGTCCGTTCTTTACTAATAAGTCTTTTCTCCATTGTATTTCTGGTCTTTTGTGGCGTTATTTTAATGAACATGCTCATCGCCGCATTTACGTAAGCTCTTTATCTTGAAACCCCTTGAGTGTTGAATCAAGTAGAATTTTTTTTTTTATTTGGGCAGCTAGTTTACTTTCAGGCACAATTATGGTAACGTAGACGACGAAGGAGAACGTCTATGGATTAATCACATGTATTTTTTAGGAGAGGAATATAAGCTGCCGGCGCTACCAATTAGGGTATTTTTTTTCTGCATTAATAAAGTATTCAAATGCTGTATTGCGATGCCATTTTCCTCTTTTTGTGTAGTAAGTGCCTCAGTTTATACAGTGTTTATACAGTGACACAGGTGGTGGTCACTTTCTCCAACACATTTAGTTATAATTCAATTTACTTAAATTTTTTTTATTTTTAGGTCAAATCTAATAAGTCTTCTAAAACAGCCGAAGAAATTTTAAAATTGGAGAGTAAATATCTAGGCAAGTACCTGAGCGGCCAAAAAAAAGTGAGGAACAGAATATCTTCTATTTGTCTAAACAGTGCCAGTACATTCTTGCCTCGAAAACGATCTCTTTTTGAAAAAAATGACTGCTTTAGATACATGGAAACTTTTTTCAGGAAAACTAGGACTTTTTTCCAGAAAATGACGAGAAGAACTAAAAATGAATTTCTCAAGAAGAGGTGCAGATTCTGACTTTAAATTTGGATTGAATACTATAAAAAATGAAAGCTTATTTTTGATAAATTGATAAGTAAACAATGTAAAATCTATTTCAAAACAAAATAAAAGGAACTCAGACGGTATAAACCAAATTATCTAAAGCGCGAAACGATTTTATCGCTCTTGAGAGTTTAAAGATTATAGGTATATCGTCAGCTGGCCGTATAAGAATTTAGCCAGACAAGAGTCCCACAATTTTTGTTGTTATTCACTTTTGAAAGGTGTGCTTATCCAACTAAACAAGGAAGGATTGTTACGACATTACGATAAAATTATCAGAGATCAGGAATCAAACAATATTATTGAAAACATTGATCAAAATTATTCCAGCTATAAAGTTTCTTATTTACCCCGCCATCTGAATCGCTTCTTACTGATAACAAACCTTCAATTCAGTCAGGTGAATTTCGACAGTTTTACATGCACATCGTTTTCAACATATTTTTTAGCCACCATATCATCCGCTGAGTGATGGACTTATCGAACGTTTTGTTGATACCTTCAAAACGGCACTTTCAAAATGCAATGAGGGTTCCAAAGACGAAAATATTTATACATTTCTAATTCACTACCGCAACACTGTCCACTCATCTATTGATAATTTTCCCCGCTATGCCACTGCAGGGTCGCAAACTTCTTTCTTCGCTAGATTTGTCGCTTCCTTCAATGCCATCTTCTGAGACGAAAGCTGACTCCTCTTTTTACTTCAACCGGTCTCATGGAGCCAGATCTCAAAAATTTCAACTGCATGACGCTGTATATGCTTGTCTATATAATACTTCACAGAAATGGATTCCAGCTGTTATTAAGCGCAGGAGAGGAAAAGTTTTGTACAAACTCACCTTCCAGGAAACTTGGACCGCAAACCAGGAGGCAAGTGATTCTAAGAGACAGTCATCAAAACCAAAAAGAAGTAGCAGATCAAGGGCATGAGCCTACTGTTTCAGTCCAGCAGCTTCGGCAAGCTAAACTTGTCATTCAACTAGGCAGAAAAAACCAAGATTACTATTGAGAGTAGATCCACGTTAACGTAATTATTGTTCGTTTGAGTTTACCGAATAACTTCGTCTTATAAATATTCAATTCTACTCATTAGATCTAAAATTATTATAAGTACAGCAAACTTCGCGAAATGGAGGTTCAGTCCAATCCTAACAATGAAAACCCACCCGTACTATTGATTGCACTGGCACCGCAAACTAAAGGAGTTGTTGTTACTTTCACTTCACTAACATATTTCTTCTATTCTCTTCTTTTTTTTCCAGAAGGGAAATGTTACGATGTTGCCTGAAGGCATATGATGTATTTTACAAGTTATTATACTTGCCTCAAGACGGATGTGACTTCTTAGCCTTAGGGAGTACGTTTGGCCTATGTCTACCGGATGCCTATAAAAAATCTCTTTTGTTGCCTTTAACAGTCAGTTATCATTCTACATTCTCATCTTAGTTCTTCTGCCACTACCTCCTTGTTTTGTCAGTGAAATCTCTTCCGGCATACTCGACTTATATACCACACGGATCACAACAGTTATATTATTTTAAAGTGTTCAGACTAGAAATAAGTAAGACTGAGCCTAGAATAAGCAGAGGACCTTTGTATAAAGAGTCTATAAAGAATTCTAAAAAATGGTGGTAATTGTCACAGAAAACCAGGAATAGTTGAAATAATTGTTGAAGACAGTCAACAAAGGATTGTTTGCTTTTTGGCTTTTCAATTGAAAAAGTTTTATTCTAGAAGATCTGGTAACAGTAGCATATTTGAGCTGTAATTCCAACTTTATACGGTAGTAATGCATACAGATGAAAGAATTAAAATTCTTTACAAGAAATAAGCTTGAAACTTTATTTAAGCATAATTTACTGCTATAAAAACTGGTGCAGAGTACATTAAGCTATGACCAAGTGTCAATAACAAAAAAGTGATTTGCCGTATAATTATTGTTGTAAAAAGTAACAACTGTATATCACAAGTAATGAGAGGACGATATTGGAAGCGAATTGAACGAGGAGCGGAAACTAACAGTGAGCGACTCCACTACACAGTGTTTAAGCCTTTTCAGTGTGTTATTTAGTCATAGTTTTCCACCTTTGCATTCATGGTACCTTCTGTATTGTAATCTGATTTGAAAGGAATAGAAAAATTGGCTCTCTTTTAGTCTGATGATCCCGTGGCGGGATTGGCTGCGCTACACATAGCCAATCGGGGGATCTCATATTCGGTACAGTATAAGGATTTATACAATATGTTTGAAGATAAGAGATCCCTCCACGCTTCTCTTATACTGGAACCAACGCAATCCCATCCAAAGTTGTGTGAAAGTATGCTCATAAAAGCAGTTGTGTAGGGACTTCTACGGGTTAGGGAAGATATAAAATTGGTTTAACACTTCGAATTATATAAGGTTAGAAAGATGGTTGTCCTCTCCAAAATGGCTCTTCGGAAAATAGAGTGTTTTGGTTGAAGGAATACAAGAAGCAAGGTTAGAGGGGGTGACAAAGCGTCTCATCCTAAAGTTTTCTAGAACGAATTGGCAGAGCAGTAAAGAGTAAGGGAGAAGACGTGTTCGGCCACTTCATTTGCTCTTTCTCTCATCTTTCCCCATTTGTCTAAAGATCGTTTATATAACACAAACTGTCCTTAATAAAACGTGATGTGTAGAGTAGGCAGGTGTACATTTTGCTGAAGAGCTAATTACTTTGGTTCAACTGGCACTCATTGTACCCCGGGTTTATCAGCCGTTTGGCAATTTTAAGCACTTTATAAAGTTACATCTTGTTATTCAATTTAACACTTCAAGTACTGGCTGAGATATTTGGGCTTGCCCTTTTTTCATTGTATTTAGAACTGCAGTAGCAAAATGACCCTTACTTTTGACGGAATGAAAGATATTAATGTGCGGAAAAAGTATTTTTTGGTGTTGAAAGAAGATTTTGAAAAAAAATGAACATTTTTGTTGAGATACTTTTTGAAAGGAGGTTTTT